TTTCCTGATAATCCATTTAGGGAGCAATCCCAATTGCTGGATTAGGCAAGGGAAAAAGCATCAATTATACTATTGGTGTTTTAGGATAGCCTACACAGAGCAGAGGTTGGAGGGGTGAGCACACAGGGACAAGTGGTGCCATCCATCACTGCTGGGGAGCCCAGCACTCCCTGGGGCTCTCCCTGCTTTTCATGGGGCAGCTTCAGCTGGGGGAAGCTGAACCAGGGCTGTGGTTTCTCTATGTTCATATTCACAACAAAACCACTCTGGATTTACTTGGGTTTTTTTTCTGATTTCCTAAGAGTGAGTGGAAGTGGGGCAGAGCCCCAGGGCTAAGCCTTCATGAGGCAGCCAGAGCAGAAGGAGGGGAGCATTAAATACTTTTTTAGGGGGGACACAAATCAGCTGTTACCTTCCCACTGGATTAGATAACACCAAAAATCTGTAATAACCCCCAGAAAACCATTGCCCTTTGCTGCTGGCAACAGAACCTGTGCAGAGCTGGCAAGGAAACAGCCCCTGGAAAAGGAATTGCAGCAACCCCTGGCATGAAGGTGCTGGGATTATATCCAGCTAAAATGAATCACCTCGTGCTGCTGCAGTGGTGTGCTCTGAGGAAACTCTCTCTTTGATATAATCTTTCTTTTAAAAGTCAGATCTTTCCTCTGGGAAAAGGCAAGTCTTGACTTAGGCTGACCTACCTTGTTTTTTGGCTAGAAAAAGATATTTTCTCTTGGCTGCCCCATGGCTTTCACTCACAACCTTCCTGAGAACATTTTTACAAACTATTATTTAAGTCATCCCAATCAGGTAGCATGGACCCCAGTTCCAAAAAATGGTTTTATTTTTTGCTGGTAGAATAATTAAGCTGATAAAATGCCCATTCTTTCCTTCAGATCCATCTTCCTGGCTGTGACAAATGATGCTGAGGGTTCCACGGGCCCTGGGGAGGTGCTCAAGTCTCGCCCATGTTCTTGCATTATCATCTGACAGCAATTTATGGTACTGCAGAATTTGCCTTATTGAAACCCTTTGTAGGACGGAGATTCTCAGAGATTCATGCACAGAGGGTGACTCTCTGCTCAGTGCTGATGGATGGAGCAAGCTCACTCTGAATCCTTGAAGGCAGCAGGAATTTGGTGTGAGGAGCTGCACCACAAATTTTGAAGCAGAGAAATCTTGACTTAGTGATGCTCTGTGGATTCTCTGGACAAGGCACACGTTAAAAAATTATTTGAACTGCTGGCCTGCTGAATGCCCAAGATTTAACATAAACTGGAGCCAAATCTAGCCAAGATATTGCAATATTTCATTTATGTCTTATTGCCCTGGGCATAGGACCTGCACCCACTCCCTATGGATGTGCCATCACCAGAGGGAAATGTTCCACTTGGAGTCAACAACTTCAGCCCCACTGTTGTGTGTGGATAAAATGTAGTTTAAGAGAAAATGGCCCTTAATTTTCTCCCTCTTGTAACAATTGCTTTTAAATCACCATACATCATCAAGTACCTGGTATTTGAGTTACACAACTCAGACACCTGCTTACCAGTGAAATTTTAAATTTCTAATTATTCCCATTGGCTGTGTTTGTAAGGATTTGTGCCTGATGTCTCAAATTTCTTCTCAAGCTGCTGGGAATGTTTTACACTAATAGCTGGAGCCATAAACCTGCCAATGTTAAACTAGAAATTCTTCAGCAAGTCAAGGCTGTTCCTCTTCTTTTTGTCTAAATGGGCCATTCAAAAGTGAACTTGGTAAGACAGGAACTGCTCTGTAGTGGATGAAAAATGCCTCCATAAGTGAGTGGACTGAGGTCTGTCATGTTTTAGGTTTCACTGAGCCCCAAATGGAAGGATAAAGTGGATGTGAATGGCAAAAATGATGTCCTGCAGTTGTCCTGTGACAACACAGCCCAGCCAGGGACTGCCAAGAAGAAGAATATCCAGAAAATGGGAGAAAAACATTCTTTCCAGTATTACCAGGGAAGTTTTTCTTAACATTGTAAAAAATATACAATCCTTTGCCCAGCTTCCAACAGAGACTGGAGGTAGAAGCATGTGAGGAATGGAGATGGGTGGCAGGAAGAATTGATGAAAGAGTTGTGTGCAGGATGAGTTACAGTTCCCTAAGTGTTATAACATCAGTAAACTTTCATTTTGATGTGAAGACCATGACCAGCTGTTGAATTTTGGTCCTGCAGAATTCCCACTTCTTCAGTGTACAATCCATGGACTGCAAGGCACAGACCCTGTTTTCTCTCAGATAAATGTCAAAGCTGTGTATCTGCAAAAATAAAGGCCAGTAAATGGTGTCTGAAGTAGCTATTAATCTGTGGAATTAGTTGCTCCAAGTCCAGATTGCAAGTATATGAATCAACAAAAAATTGAATTAAATTAGGGAGATTTATGGTGAGCAGTTGTTTCACAGTGGTTTGGGTTTCAGCGAGAGCACAGGCCAGTGAAATATCAGCACAAAGATATAAATTAAATAGGAATACTCCAAGGAAAAATCTTGTTTATTCTGTGCAAGCAGCAGTGTCATTTGTCACCTCAGAGCACAGGAGCCAGGCACGGGTGGGAGCTCCTGGATGTGCCTGAGAGGTGCTGGATCAAGGTGCAGGTATTAATATTGAAACAAATATTGTGAAAGGAATTGGAGAATCCTGTGGTGTTGGACAAAGCTCTCTGAGCAGTAAAAAATCAAGTCAGAGGAGGAACAGGTGACAGTGTTGTGGCAGAGATTTATTCCTCTCTGGATGTATTGAAGCTGTCCCAGTGTGCCTTTCACGAATTGCAGCACAGCTGCTGATTGCAGATGGTGCCTGGATGAGATCTGGGTGGAGGTGACAGTGACCTGCAGGTGCTGAGCTCTGCCAGCACCCAAAGGTGACACTCCTGTCCTTAGGGAGTCACTTTTCCATGGGCTGGCCTGTGAGCTGTCCACAGTTACCACAATGAAGAGAGGAGCCTGAGGAAAATGAGCTGTTTGAAGGAAAACTGGGATAAATTCTGTTTTAAATATGTGACTGCAGCTCTGGGGGAGAGGACAGCTGGGGACAGGGACCTGAGGTTGTGCTCCCTGCAGGGACAGCCTTCTCAGCAGCCAGGTGCAGGGTGAAGCCTCTGTGGCACAAAATGCTCTCCAGCCCAAATACTCGCTCCCTGTCCCCTTCTGTGCCTGAAAGAACTGTACCATGGGGGCACCTCAAACCCTGCCAGCCCCCAAAACCCCGCTTGCACCTATGGGGATGGCTGTCATGTTACTGCAGGAGCAATCTGTGGATCAGGCAGGGATAAAATTCCACAAACACACCGTGCAGGGTCAATGCATCTCCACAGGGATCCCCTCTCAGGCTCCTGCCAGCAGAGCTCCTTTGGGAATCAATCCCAGACCATGCAGGAGCAAGGCACTCGTGCTGTCCCACTGGGATCCCCCATCCTGTGCCTCTGCAGCTGAGAGGGACGTGACCATCTCCAGTTTAACTCCTCATTCCCTTTCCCCCCATAAGAGTAATCCCTGGTTTTACTTCCCAGTAAAATTCCCTGGCATGAATTGAGCAGGTTTTGTTACTAAGAACCTTTTTAGAGCAGTAGAGATATAGAGAGAACTGCCCAAAGCACAATTACTGCTAGAAAACCTTTAGGAACCTTAACTCTAAATAAATCAAATATACTCCCTTAAATACTGAGCTTTTTAAGTCACACCTTGCTCTTTTTTCAGGTTCCCATCATCATATTCTGGCAAGCTTCAAGACAAAATCCTTTGGCTTCCACCTGTGTGCAGCTATTGACACTTGGGCATGGATCAAAGTGAATTTCCACAGCTTCCAGGTATAAGGAATAATTGGAAGATTATTTTTTTTTGTGTATCCATAGGGTATAACACTCCTCTGCAGATCCACTTTAGAGTGGATATAAAACAAATCCAGTGCATCCAGCAAGGCTCCTCTCTGCTCAGCAGGGCTGCAGCCAGGGTAAAGTGAGGGCAAACAGGGCTTAGTGTCTGAATCTCGACAAGTTTTGTGGTTCCGTTTCTTCCTTCATTCAGGTGGAGGCTGGACAAGCTGCTGGAGGAGAAATTCAGGGGAATTATAAAATAAACACCCCCATGTTTGGCTCAGCGAGCCCTGAGCAGCCCTCCTGACGTCTCTAAAGTTATATACATGCAGATGTATATATTTATCATATTTATACACATCAATGTAACAGCTGCCGCGTTTTTTGAGTTCTGCTTCGGCACCTCTGTGTCCATCCCAGTAGGATGCTGGGCTGATTTCACGGGGCCATTCCCGTGCTGCAGGCGCTGGATGTCCATGGGGATATCCAAATCCCCACGTCCACTCCTTCCTTCCGTCCCTCCCATTGTCAGGCTCAGCCTGACTCATGTCCCCTTCCTTGCTTTCTCTGTGCTCATGTAATTTCCAAACCACCTTCCTTCCCCGTTCCACACCCCGATTTATTTTTTCCTAACGTCTTTCCCCTCCCTCAGTATGGTGTTCAGAAAACCAGCGTCCCCTTGGTTTAATGAAAGCTCCTGGATGTTTATCACGTTGTTAAATCACTTCCTTCAAGCGGGCTCGGATGAAGTTATCACTTTGTCAAAGCGTGATGCAAGCCCTCAGTGGGAAGCACACAAAGGCAGAGCCCAGGCTCTGGGGAAGTTTGGGTGAACTGTTTGCAAAAATCTGCCGAGCCCACCCCTCCGAGACCTTTATTTCCCCCTGCGGCAGCTGTCATCTGATCCCACGCTTTGGCTCTGAATGGGGCTCTCGGAGGATGCCAGATGTTGGGAACAAAGGTCTAAAAATAATCTTTCCAAGTAATCTTCCCGTCCATCACTCAAGGAGTAGCGTGAGCTTTGTGTGAACATGTGAGCCGAGAACCTGATCTAACTTAAAGAAGTTCAACAGCAGCTCCCGGCTTCTGCCTGTAGGCTCTTTTTTTATTTTTTTTCCCCTCTCTTTTTTTTTTTTTTTTTTTTTTTTCTTTTCCCTTCCCCTTTTCCCTTCCCAGAAGCTGCGCAGGGAAAAGCGGCTCTCGGAGCGCTCAGCCCTCTCTCCCTCCCTCCTTCCCAAACCTCGGAACCTCCCGGATCCCCAGAGCCAGGCTCTTTATTCCACCTCTCCTTGGGGAAAAAAAAAAATTAAAAAAAAAAAAATAAAATGGGTTCCAGGCTGGTGCCAGGGATGGGTTTGTGTAGGAAGATCCTGGCTGCAGCCGTGTGTGTGCTGGTTCTGCTGCCGGAGCCGGGCTGTGCCAGGACCCTCTGGAAACGCGCTCTGCTGAAAATGACCGAGAAATACGATGTGAGTAAGGCTGGGGGGGATTTTTGGGGATGCTCGCCTCCCAAGGGGAGTTTTCCTTTCGCGTTTTGGGATAAGGAGGGCTCGGCTCGGTCCCTGGCTCTGTCTAACAGGGATTCGTGAAGTTTTTCCCAGGCTGCGAGGAACTTTTGCCACCTAGCTGCTGTGGGGGGAAGCTTGGGAAGAGCGCTCGGAGCTGGGAGAGGGGTTTGGGATGGCACCGGCACCGCTTTCCCTGGAAAATCCCCAGGGAAAAGTGACCGCGGAGAAAGGGGGGATGCAAACCCTGCGCGTTTGTTAGTGGGAGGAAAATAATGGGATTTATTGCTTGGAGCAGGGAGGGCTCCGTGCCCAGCTCCTCTGCTGCTTTTTTGGGGTAACTTTGGGTAAATGTGTGCTGGAGGGAGGGAAGGAGGGAGGGATGGTGGCATTGCCCACGGTTCTGTAAATCCCTGCAGTGCCCTGGCGTGCCCATTACCCTGAAGGGTGGCGATCCCAAAAATCCATCCCCTGCGAGCAGAGCTGCTGCCCACGCCCTGGCACAGCCCCGGTGGCCCCATCTGTGCCTGCCTGCTCTTGGCATCCTTCAGGGCACCGAGCACAGCCCCCAAATCCACCCGGGGAACGAGAGCTGGGACTGGGATGGGAAATGGGACTGGGACTGAAATTCGGACACCAATAAGTTACTGGGAGTGGAGGGGATGGTGCTGGATCTTGGTACTGGTACTGGTGTGGATGTGCAAAAAGACTAGAGATGGCCATGGAGGAAATGGAAATTGAAAAAAAAGGGAAAATAATGTGATAGCTTGAGTTTTAGGACCTACTGTTAAAAAAAAAAAAAATCAATTTTTTTATTAATTTCAAATTTTTACTTGGTCCATTCAAGTTCCCTTGAAAACCAGCACTGAGCCAAGGTTTCTGCCCCTTGAATTGCTTGGGGGCAAGCCCCAAACAGTTTATTTTCTTATGCTCAGGTCTGATTGCATCTTCCAACCACTGCATGGGTATAAACAGCACCTTAGTGCCACAGGCAGATTCCTCCATCTGCTTTTCTGCAGCTTTTAATTCAAAAAGGATGTTTTTATGCCCATGACTTTTAGAGTGATGTCTGTGCATGGCAACATTTGGTTTGTGCAACTGCTGACTCAGAGTTGTGACACACATCTCTTGCCCTCAATGAACAAATTGAAATTCTGTCTTCTTGAAATGTTGCAGAAAACGTTGTGCTGATATTGAAAGGATTTTGTAAGAAATTTTCTTCATTATAACCTCTTTTGGAATAGGGTATTCTCTGGTTTGCACTTTTATTGGAAAATTTGTGATATAAAAGGTGAATTTCCTGCAAAATCACTCACTGGAAAGTGCATTTATATGGATGTTCTTCTGCCATATTTCAATGTGAAGCTCAAATTTAATAGGAGCTGTGAGGTGAATGACCCAGAGGGATAGGACAGGAGCAGAAGAGGGATTTACATGTTGATTTTGAGATAAGGAGCCCTGCCGAGGCAGCTCTGGCTCCCCTGAGGATATATCCTCTTCTTTCAACCTGCACTTCTTCAAAGGGCTGTTTTTCCTGGCAGCCCTGAATCCAGGTGCTACTGATCTGGCAAGCTCAGCTAGAATTGCTCATATTGACAGAAACATTGGTCCAGGGAAAACAGAAAATGCTTTTCTTTCTCCTCCTCAAAGCCTTGTCAGGGGGAAAAGTGTCTGCTCTCCATCCTCTCCTGCACCAGGAGTCAGTTCTGGCAGCCCCTCTGGTTTCTCACAGGGATGTTTTCTTTCCTACCAAATGCTCTGTGTTCCCTGTGCTTGGAAAATCAGAGTCTGGGGGCAGAGCAGCTGATCTGTGAGTCACTTGGATAGGGGGATGACAGATGGAGGTGCTGATGGCAACCTGCAGCCATATGGGACACGGGCCACAGACATCCCTGTGGGACCCCAAAAGACACACGGGAGGGAGATTGGTGTGGTCTGAGTCCAGAAAATCTGAGGCTGCAGCAGGAGGAAAAATGTAGAAAATGCTGGATGCAGAATGAGGGGCAGGTGTGAGGATGAGGAGCTGGCCAGGGGCTTTTCCTTCACCCTGAGGAAGGGCCTGGGTTGGAAAGGAGGGGTCAAGTGGGAATGGAGAAGGGAGAAAGAGGGATTGCAGTGAGGAAAAAAACCTGGCAGTCACAGCAGGATGCAGGAGCTGAGCTTTAAAAAAAAAAAAAAAATCCAAATCTTTTACATTGGGACACTTGTCAAGGTTAGTGATTTGGTGTTGTGCAGCCCCCACACTCCAGGGACTGTCCCCAAAGGGCAGAGGGAGGGACCTACCTGGGAGTGGGAGTCAGTTCATTGTAAAACACCCATCAGTCTGTTGGGAAAAGCTGGGCCAGTCTGGATTTCATTCCACTGTCAGCTACAGCAAGTGTTTTGGAAAAATCCCAGCCTTCTTTTAAAGCTTTCCAGAAATGAAGAATTCCTCACAGCTGCTGTAATGCTCTTCCAACAATTTATTTTCCCTCCAGCAGCCAGCTGTCATAAGTCAGCCCTGGGGTGCCCTGTGTGCCCCAGGAGATTTCTGGCCCCCATATCCTCAGAGTAACCTGTGAGCAGAGCAGCCTCAGCCTCCCCTTTGGAACCTGCACACACACAAATCTTTTTTTCTCTATTTCCTGCTTTCCAGCCTTTTAGCCATTACTGTGCATCTTCTTGGAGCCCACCCCAATCCTGCAGCATTCTTCCAACTGCAAACAGCAGAACCAAAATGACAAATCCTGAGCCAACAACAGGAGAATATTATTGCCATTGCTTTGGTCTTGTCCTGCAGATTGTTTAAGCTGCCTTCAGTCTGATGTTTGCCACTTTGATCATCACTGATGGGTGATTTTCCAGGTCTTTAATGGAAATATTGGAGGATTCAAAATTCTCCCTGACTGTGTATTTATTTTCAGGGGAAAGGTGTTTTATGGCCAGTGCTTGGGAATACCTGCCAGGGCCAGAGCTGGTGGTGGGAGGCTGAAATAAATCTCGTGTCATCTCGAGGGGCTCCGTGCAGAATATGAATTAGCAGAGAGCTCAGCTTTGACACAAGCTCGGGGACCAGTTCCAGACACAAATAACAGAATAAATCTGTGATTTTTGGGAGGCAGACTGCATCCCTCAGTTGCTATTGAAATTATGGCTGAGACTGAGTGAATCCATCCAGGTTTTTCCTTATCTTTGTTGATTTCCAAGGTTCCTCAGCTGAACTCTGGACTTTTCCCCTTACTTTGTTTCTGGCTATCTCTAAGGCAGATATTGTCATTAAATTATTTAATAAGTCTCTCTGGGAAACAGAAATTTATCTCTTGCACTAAAAAATATTTTTAAAGATATTTTGACTGTCGTCACAATCTACAAAAATAATAAATCAGAGCCAAACTGTGAATGCTGGGAGAGCTTTCAAAAAATCCTTGTAACCCAAACCTGGAGATATCCTTAACCAGGTTATCTGGGGGAGTGAGGGAATCCTGTTTTATGCACACATAAACAATGGGGTTTTATTAAACCAAATTTAAAACATATTCTTATTTTGAAAGAAATGAGCAATGGGTGACCAGAGAAAATGGGCAGGGAGGTCATGAGGTACAAAGTTATTTGGCCACAACTGTTGTATTGTTCCCCAACGGAAATTTCATTCATGGAGCCAGCTGTTCATTGCAATTTTGGCTTCTTGGTTTCTGAATCATCTGTGAAGCAACTGCAGTAATTGTTTGGTGGTTTTTTTTCGTGTATCCATTATTTGCCAGTATTATTTTGGTCACATTTCCGTCTGCAGATGACCTTTCAAATGGAATAGTAAACTGTGACCTTCCAGGATGAACACTCCCTCCAGCAAGGAGACCTGTTCAGTGTTTGCAGCTGCACAGATTAATTGTTCAGTGCTCCCTTATATCCAAAAATTATATCTGGTCTGAACATTTTCTCTATTTAAAATCCAGCAACATTCCCCCTCAAAAAAAAAGTGTGTTTTCAAAATCTTCAATTTTAAAACATGTTTCAAATTTGGAGTTTTTGCAGCTGTTGAGGAATGGACTAATAATAAGAGCTTGTGCCTTCAGCATGGAAAACATCATCAAAATTGGTTTTTCCCAAACCTTTTTATTGGTTTAAACACCTATCAGTTCATGGGAAAACAATATCACGGAAGGTTTTTAAAGGAAAAAGCAGAAGAAAATTGTTTATTGGTATTGGGAATAGGGCAGGAGGCTGTCATTAGTGAAAATATCAGGAATTCTCTGTCTCTCTGACACTCCATCTCCGTGCAATGGCCTCTCCTGGGCCAGTTTTTGGGAGAATCCATGTGGGAACAGGTATTATCAAAGGCACAGATGCTCCAAAAGAGCCATTGGGGGTTACAGCAATAAGGATGGAGCAGGATGCAGAGAGGGATGCTAATCTCACCTCAAATTTCTCCGTAGTCTGGTGGACAAATTTCCTAGAAACCCCTGGGGGACTGTTGCACCATGTTTATTCTTGGAATAACAAACCTAATTTCTCATCACTGATTTTGTAACACACCAGTGATTGGGCCAAGTGTATATTTACACATATTTTTATCTATTTATGACTCTTACCAACCTGCTCATGAGGCCATGGTAGCCTTTACTTCATGCTCAGCATCATGGCTTGATGCTGAACCCTCTTAAAAGTGCAAATCCAGAATCCACCTGTTGATTTTATTAGAGTTTATAAATGGTTGTTAATAAATCTGAGACCTGAGTGCCCTGAGCACTTTGTGCTGCCCTGGGGAGCTGAGCTGCAGCCCAGGGGTGAGTAAGGAGTGGGCTGGGGTGATTCACCTCTCTGCTGGAGGGATTTGGCTTCTTGCTAAAACAACCCCAGTGTGAAAAATATCTGAGTGCTGCCTCAGAAATGTTCCAGTGCCTGTTCATCCACTTCTCACCTCCCTTGTCCTGTCAGGGTGCAATGAGCAGCTCGGCTTCTTTCTGCTGCAGTGAAACATTTGGGATGAAGCTGGCATCACTCTCACAGATCTCACCCAGAATATCCCATGATTTAGGAATGGTCTCTAATTTAACAAGCCAGAGCTCCCCCGTGGATAAACTTGAAAGGTTCCCCTATAAATTCTAGTCCAGAGCAGGTGATGGAGAGGAAGGAGCCCACTGAGGAGAGAGGTGCTACCAGGGACATTTGTTCCATGTCCCAAAACAACACAGTGCCCTCATTTCCACTGCTTCCCCATCAAAGTGTTTTGGTGTCCTCATCATGAGGATGCCTGGGGTCGTCTCTCTGTTTCCCAGACAAATAGAAAAGACTTCAAATAATTTTATTTTTTAACCTCCTAATTTTCTATGCAATAATCTCAATTAAAAGACAAGCTCCACACAATAATTTAATGATGGTTTGGTGTTCCCAAAGCACGTCCCTAAGGGAAGTGCTGGGGTGTCACTGTAGAGGCAGGCATGACACACAAACAGACATATTTCAAAAGGCTAATATTCTGTTTATTACAACAGCACGCTGTCTTTTGTACACTCTACTCAGTTTACACTTTCTTCGTTGGTCACACTTAGTCAACATAACGTTCATTGGTGTAAAGCCATCTACACCTCTGTCTTCCATAAAACTTTTCTAAAAATATTTTTCCCTGTGCAGGTTTCTTCTTGCTTATCTTCTCTTCTTGGTCTCCAGACCAACAGCCCTGGTCAGAGAATACTTCTCAAACAAACCTCATTCATTAACCCTCTCTAACCCACAGAACAGCTCGGGGAGCTGGACAGTCAATCCTCCTCTCTGGTGAATACCCAAAAACCACTTTGAGACCTGGCGTGATGTTCCATACTCACACCAAACTTGATTTTCTTTTCTTCCCTTTGCCAAGGATTACACCTTACACCAAACCTGATTTTCTTTTTTTCTCTTTGCAAAGGATTACGAGTACACCTTACAGCAAAGCTGATTTCCTTTTCTTCTCTTTGCAAAGGATTACGAGTACACCTTGCACCAAACCTGACTTCCTTTTCTTCTCTTTGCAAAGGATTGAGCACATCTTACACCAAACTTGACTTCTTTTTCTTCCCTATGCAAAGGTTTATGAGTACACCTTACACCAAACCTGATTTTCTTTTCTTCTCTTTGCAAAGGTTTATGAGTACACCTTACAGTGAGCCTGACTTCCTTTTCTTCTCTTTGCAAAGGATTATGACGACATCTTACACCAAACCTGACTTCCTTTTCTTTGCAAAGGTTTATGAGTACACCTTACAGTGAGCCTGACTTCCTTTTCTTTTCTTTGCATAGGATTGAGCACACCTTACACCGAACTTGACTTCTTTTTCTTCCCTATGCAAAGGTTTATGAGTACACCTTACACCAAACCTGACTTCTTCTCTTTGCAAAGGATTATGAGTACACCTTGCACCAAACCTGACTTCCTTTTCTTCTCTTTGCAAAGGATTATGAGTACCCTCTTCATTCTCACAGCTCGCAGCAGCAGAAGAGTGACCGGTGCCCTCCTCCGCCGCAGAGCCTGCCGGAGCGCGCCTGCGAGGTGCCCAGCTGCCGCTCCGACTCCGAGTGCCAGCGCCACAAGCGCTGCTGCTACAACGGCTGCATCTATGCCTGCCTCGAGTCCGTGCAGCCCCCGCCAGGTAGGGCCACCTGCAGCCCCTGGGGACTGTCCCCAGAGGGGTGGGACACGCTCCAGCCCGCGCGCGCCGAGGAGAGATTGGCGGCTCGTCTCGTCGCGTAGGGTTTTGTAGATGGGTCGTGTTTTGGTGGTTCTGGGATATTTGTTGTGTTATATTTATGTATATATGCACATAAGCAATGGGACAGGGCTGCTGGAGTAGTTGACTGGAAGATTTATTCATAGAATCACA